GCAAAAAAACGAAAGAATATATTATAAATTTATTACACATATGTACTAAGTTTATAATATATATTATACATTTTATTTGAAAATATGCTGTAAAATTGATATACCATGTCTGAATAGAACTTCCAACGAAAAGGTTATAAAATTATAATATTTTTTTTTAACAGTGTAGGGTATTAAGAGTGAAATAGGATCGAAAGAGGTCTTACGTAGGTTACGCAGGTTCAAAGTAGGGCTAAACTTTCGACTCGGGTTTAGTTTTGCTCGACACGAACGAGGTGAAAAAGCGGATTCGTTGCGTGCCGCGGAAATTGCGTCCCTTTGGGGCGCCGCCTCCGGACCTTGCATTTCCCGCCACGCCGTGGGATTTAAAAGATTCAGGAAAAATGATTAAATTCTCGGCTAAGTTGGCGCCGAGGAGCGACGTACGAGTAGAACTTGCAGAATGAGAGTCGCGCCAAGTTACTCGCGCGGGGAAAGTTTGGACAGGAATGCGACCGTAATATCGCGAAGAAAGCTCACAGGAGGAAGGGCAAGGACGAAGAGGAACGGACTCTGGGTGGACGTTGGGAGCACTTAAAGAGTTTACCCAGACTGGATTATTTATAATACGAAAATTAGTTCAGAATTTTTCTTCAGGTAGTAGTTGACGTAGAGTGATTTCTTTTTTATTATAAAGCACCTGCATTGCCGTTAACTTTATGCGTACTACTCCTTTCGTACAAAAGTTCCAACTTCGTGCGTTAGATCCATTCCCTGATATTTCTTCAATTATTCTCATTTCCTATAGAAAAAAAAAGAAAAAGCACGCACAGTATGAATTGTTTTCGCTTAGTTTACCATTTACTCTGATACTCTTTTATTTAATGGCGAGCGAACTTAAACTTGAAATAGAAATGAACACAAGAGTGTAATTAGCGCGAATCACTTTGATACTTGCATAATGTTTAAATAAGGGTTCCTTAAAAAAAGGAACCGTAAAAGCGTGTGAGTGACATTTAAAGCACAAGAGAAGGAATTCTCATTAACGTTAATTAATCGTTATCGTTGTGATAATTAACAAAAAAGGTCAACGAAATTTTAAAGGATAAGTATTAAATTAAATTTGACACGGATAATTTCTGGCAACAAGACATGCGCGCTCGAGCACACGGTCAGATAGAAATAAACAAATCTACCAGTAAAATTATACGGAGATGAATCGAGAATATCTGGTTCATTGATTATGAATTTAAAATGCAAATCCTCGTCTTGAAGCAGGCCTCTTGTACCGGGCTGGACAGGATCGTGGGCAAAGTGTCGAGGATGTGGGGATAGGCAAAATACCGCCTGGGTGCGCACTAAGTGAACAAAAGTAGAAAGCTGTGTATTACGATATTAACACATTTCTCTATGCCGGCGTTCCAAGAACATCCTATAAAGTACGCATCGATGCTCCCCATATCCATGTAGGAGGCTCTCTCCGGGAAAGCGCTTTGGTTAAGCTTCGGAGGTTCGCCGAGCTTTATGGTTGGATCATTTTCCTGCTCGCCGCCCCTAAAATACTCGTAAACGCGACCCTCGGCTCCGACATCCCCTGGGTCTTTTAATCATCTGTTTATAAACTTATTCGATCGACGAGGCCACCGTGAGGATTATAAATTTTTGAAAATATCTCATATTTTAGAGGATTCCCGCAGCAATCATCGATTGTGAGTTCCAGACTCGATCTTTATAAAAAATAAAGGCGTCTTTTAATCATCCGTGTACAAACTTATTCGATCGACGAGGTCATCGTGAAGGTTCTAAACTTTTGAAAATGTCTCGTATTTTATAAAAAAAAAATAAAGGGGTCTTTTAATTATCTGTTTAAAAACTTATTCCATCGACGAGGCCACCGTGAGGGTTCTAAATTATCAAAAATATCTCGAATTTTCGAGGATTCCCGCAGCCCGCTAATCATCGATGATGAGTTCCAGATTCGATCTTTATAAAAAATAAAGGCATCTTTTTTATCATTTATGTAGAAACTTCTTCGAGTGACGAGGCCATCGTGAGGGTTCTTAACTCTTGAAAATGTCCCGTATTTTCTATCTTTATAAAAAAATAAAGGGATCCTTTAATCATCCGTTTAAAATCTTATTCCATCGACGAGGCCACCGTGAGGGTTATAAATTTTCGAAAATATCTCGAATTTTCGAGGATTACCGTAGCCCGCAATCGAGCCCGCTAATCATTCATTGCGAGTCCTAGGTTCCATCGTCATAGAAAATAAAAGATCCTTCTCGGCGTTTAAACCAGGGCTCATCTTCTTACATTATTTGTCAAAACGTGCACAGGAAATCTTGGGAGAGACGAACGGATTTACGAAACGATTCGGTCGGGAGGAAAAGCGATTATTTCATGGTTGCACTCCTCGTGCGTTCAGCCTCGGTTTCCTGTATAGCGTTTTAGGGAAACAAACGCGTCGGACAATTTCCGAGGCACTCGAGGGAAAGTACAAAGCGGAGAGAGAGCGGGACGAGAAAATAGGTATCGGTTTCCTCGGGATATTCCGCCGAGGTTCGTTCCTCCTTGGAGATCCTCCCCGAAGAGGAGTTGCGAGACGAGGAGGGTCCGCAGGAACGTCGGCCACCTTGGCGTAGGTAATAAGGGCAGTTCGCGGGGTCGAGGGTTCCTCGGTATACCGGAGATTTACGCGTTTCTTTTCCCGGAGGAGGAAGCGAACGAGGAAGTGGACGAGGAAGAGCCGGAAGTGCGGATCCCCAGCATATTTCTGCCGATCGAACGTAATGCCTGTCACGAGCGCCCTGAATCCGGCATAAAGTTCGCCGTGGAAGTGCGGCTTTTATCCGAGTCTTAGGTAAAATCCGGGAGGAACGTTCCTCCTCTAGGCTCGACGTTTCTTCCCCGGAGGTGGAGGAGAGAAAAGACCGAGCCAAGGGCAGCACCTTCCTGCTCTCCGTCGTAAAAATGGTGGGCCATTTTCTGGCCGCCTTTCGCTCCGCCATTAAGAGGATATGAAAGAGTCAGCCTATATATATATCTGACAATGAGAAGTCAAATCGTTGGTGAAAGTATTCTCCGAATTGGGTGTACCGATTCGTTTCAAATTTCACCACGTGAATATGGAGGCCCTAAAGTAAGTCGATAAACTCATGAAATTTAACTTTTCGTCAAAAATTTATTTAATTTACCGAAAAATTGTACTTACCGACGATACGGCGACACCGATTTTATGCTTCAGCATTAAGGTGAAGTGAAACACGTCGAGGAACTTGATCGACGTCAATAAAGAAGATTTTTCTAAATATCCACGTTGCCGACGTTCGTTTTTATATTGACAGCTGTGTCGAATTATATTGGGTATTGTACCAAATGGCACACTCCACCTGTCGTTTTCGTGCAATAATTATACAGAAATCGAAGCATAACTCCAGAAATCCTCTGGATTCATGCTTTCTGAGGTCCTAATTGACTGCAGAAAGACCCCCTTCTTTTTTTATTGGACAGTTTGGTTCAATATCCTTAAAAAAGAGTGTTGTATTCGAATGGACTAATTAGAGAAGGGTTTCACTTCACCTTAACGGAATTTTGAGCAGAAAAAGGGTTGAAAAAGCGTCTGGAGCTTCCTCGTCCTCGGATACCCGACTGACCTCCCTTCGAGCTTGCACGCGTACCGACATTACGGCGAAACCGATTTTATGCTTCGGCATTACGATGAAGTGAAACACGTCGAGGAACTTGATCGACGTCAATAAAGAAGATTTTTCTAAATACCTACGTTGCCGACGTTCGTTTTTATATTGACAGCTGTGTCGAATTATATTGGGTATTGTGCCAAATGGCACACTCCACCTGTCGTTTCCGTGCAATAATTACAAAGAAATCGAAGTAAAACTCCAGAAATCCTCTGGATTCATGCATTCTGAGGTCCTAATTGACTGCAGAAAGACCCCCTTCTTTTTTTATTGGACAGTTTGGTCCAATATCCTTAAAAAAGAGTGTTGTATTCGAATGGACTAATTAGAGAAGGGTTTCACTTCACCTTAACGGAATTTTGAGCAGAAAATGGGTTGAAAAAACGTCTGGAGCTTCCTCGTCCTCGGATACCCGACTGACCTTCCTTCGAGCGTGCACGCGTACCGACATTACGGCGAAACCGATTTTATGCTTCGGCATTAACGGGATTAGCGTTGCGCCCTCGTCGGGAGGGGCTCGACCGCGCTTACGCGCGTTCGACATCGGCAGAACGAGGCGAGGTAAAGCCGCGCGGTGTAGGAGAGTCAAGTAATTCCAGGCGAATGCGAGATTACACGCGGCCCCGTCGACTTCCGTCCCTCGAGGACGGTGTGCACGCAAGTTTGCCCATCTCGTATCGGACGGGAGTAAACATCTCGCCGCTTCGGCAACTATTGTTATAACTCTTAGGAGCGAGCGCGCCCCGAGCCCAGGGCGGCTTCCGCCGCGAAGCCGACTGGAAACTCGCCTGTGATCTCCGCGGGGGCGAAGGCGTCGACCTAACGACGGGAAATCCGCCGAATGTCGACCCGAGCTTCGGTCTCTGCCCCCGGATCTCCCGCTTCGTTCGGGCGCCGCTGGGGGCGATGAGGGCGCTGCGGGCGCGCCCGTCGCTTTCTCGCTGCCGAGTGCGCTTCGACGCCCAGTATTGTCCTGGCGTCGAATTTCTCGCCCCATCCATTTGCTCTTTGTTTCCGAGCTTCTTTATTTCAATTTATTTCCTCCCTTTCCCCTGTAATGTCGCGAGGGAGACTCGCGATACATCGTACCGGCAAAACCGAAGAAACCCGCGTTAAGATAATACCCATTTAAGATATGAAAGGCGCTGAGACATTTAATCGAGGTCGATATATTAAAATTCATCTGTACCCTTTTTGGTGGTGACGTCATTTTGAATACTCAAGGGTAGCATAAACTGGCGCGTCACGTTACCGACAAATCGACTGACCAAGTGACGAGCGCGAGTAAAGGCAATTTATTTGAGTATAAATGGTGTATCGCAGAGCAAACGATCATCTCCCTGGTTAACTTCACCGTGATAACTCGAATCTCACTATCGGAGTTCGACTGACGCCGATAATAGGCGATGAATTTAGTTCCATACGCGTCTGCCGGAGTGACGTTATGCGTTCATTATCGTTAAAGCCGGTGTTCTATCAACAGTAATTAGTGTTAGACGTTAAGTCAAGCAAGGTGGAATTGGAAGGTCTCCAAAGGGAACGACCCATGCGAATGTCGAAAGGAGATATCAAGTCAGGATGCCGATAGCTTCTCAATGTTCAGGCGTTAGATCCTCAAATTCTTAATGCTACTTTCAATTCCTCGAAGTCCATAAAGGCGATATTAACTTCGTTACGTCAGTCATTAGTGCCCGTTTCGCAAGGTATCATGCGTTAGAGTTAGATCACGTCGGACTAGTAACTTCCAGCCAGGCTTGGCCGTAATGGAGAAGTAGTTTCTCGATGGCAATGGCGAGAGCACTGCTTTCAGTGGAGTATACCTACCGAGCAGTTTCCAGGATTTCTCTTGTGCAGAACGTTAACGACATTCTGCGTTCTGCGTCCTCGGAGAAGGCTCTGCGCGTTACACATAGTCGGGAACGTTAATGCCAGAAGTCGCTATAAATTTCGGATACACCTGGGTGTATTGCAGGAGACACGTGCATCCAAAGTTTATCGGTAACGATTAAGAGGAGCGGAAAGCTCGTTACCGACAGGGCTGGGCCATCGGAGAGAAACGGAGAGAGGAGCTGCCTGTCTCTCGTCGTGTTCCCTTTAACTCGATTAATTAGCTCGCGGAGTTATCTGCCGACGGGAGCACGGGGAAAAAGTGACGGAGCCTGCAATTCCTGACCTAGGGCAAGTGGAATCATATTGGGGCCCCGTGGAATTATCTCGCACACGTGGGAGACTCGATATTTTCTGGATGACGTTCCATCCATTCTCGCTCGAGTCGAAAATTTTTACGTCATATAAGTCTGATGAATGCACGCGAGGATTTTAAGTATAATGCGGCAATTTGAGATAGAAATATGTTCACGAAATTGGACCCTGTAATTCCTGACCTAGGGCAAGCAGACGCATGTTGGGTCTCCGTGAAATTATCTCGCACACGTGGAAGACTCGGCATTTGAAGGCATTTAATTTTTTAATGGGTTTTGAGTCAATATACAAAAGGATAACATCTGTACAGTCGAAGTCTTACCGTAGCTCTTAAAATTGGCAGACATTTCCATTTATTCCACTTGCATGCCTAAAATAGGACTTAATTCGTATCAAGTATTCCGTACAAAGTTTACAGTAGAACTTAGAGAGTGAATTAGTACCAAAAGTGAACTTAAATTACGCCGAGCGGAAAGTAAGAGCAAAAACGAAACTGAAGTTTCGGTCGTCAAATTAAATGATCAAAGCAACGAACGATTTAATGATTCAACCGAGATCGATCATTTCGGTCCGAGTGATCTGGACCTCTAAGACCGACCGGAATCCACCCGATGTCTATGCAAAATGTATGCCCGGAATGTCAGGAATAAAGACGTCGAGAAACGTGCCGGGACGAGCCGCGACGGGAAGAAATGAGGACAGTTAGTCGTAAATCTCGCGCTCGACAGAATGCGATCTCAGCAGAGGCGAATTTTCCGGCGGCGAGATGCGGCTCTTCTTGTCACCGGTCTTCATCAGTTAAAACGAGCCGTTCCTCGAATCTACCAGCCGCCTCCTCTCGTCTGCACTTTCTCGCGAAAGACTGTTGACTTTTCAAGTTTCTATTTACGTAGACCGTCTTTCGATTTGCATCGGAAACGTCTCGTTCCCGCGTAGCGATCGGAGGGCTCGAAACTTCCCCGTGAATCGATGCTAATTCTCGCGTTATTGCTTTCGAAAGCTAACGCCAAAGTGCATGGCTGGTTAAGGTGATACGAATGTGTGATATTTGCATAACAAAAAGTGAAGATATTTATATAACTTTTCTTCAAACTGGGTGCACCGAATCATGTGACTTTAACTTTAACACGTGATTATGGAGGCCCTAAGGAATAACGCGCTGCTCGTGAGATTTCTTTTTTCGAAAGAAATTTTCCGCCATCAAAACATTGCGCCACCTCTAACTTCCAAATCATTTAAATTTTCATTTTCATAAGACACTTTTTTGCCTTTATCCCGTTCAAATGCGAGTTTATCGATTACCAGAGTGTTCTAAATTGTCGTAAAATTGTCCTGACTCTTTCAGAGCTTTCAATAATTGTACATTGATCGAAATATGAAAGCTCGACGCCATTTTGGTTCTAGTCTGGGCTAAGTTAAAGAAATTGTTATGAAAAATCCAAATTTTCAAAGTGTCAGGACAATTGTGCCCATAATTATGAAAGTGGTCTAAGTCAAAATTGAAAAAGAAAAATGAGTTTATCAGTTATTTCACGCCACATTATTTCAAACGAAATTAATTCAATGTAATTTCGAAACAAAAAATATATGACTTAGACCACTTTCATAATTATGGGCACAATTCTTAGATAATCATGAGTCATATGTCAAAGTGTCGGACAGTTTGGTCCATACCCTTAGAAAAAAGTGTTTTATTAGAATCGACTGATTTTTATACTTCACCTTAATGGGAGTACTAGCGATAGCTTTATACAGGCGCGTCGATGTATCGGCGAGTGAATCGTCCCGTTTGGCAGAAGCTGACGTCCCGGAGATGGTCCTACCAGATGGCCGGACTGGCTCATAAAAATATGCAATTGCACCAGGCTGCGTAACACAAAGTTCCAGCCTGGCGGAACGAACTCGTTAACCCAGTTGGTTTCATCTCCACAATATCGTCACGGCAAATATTTTGAATTTTGCACCCGAAATAAATTTACCGGCACGCCGCGCTTTTCGAGGGGAATCAAAGGAAATCATTTCCCGAAATGTTTGGGAAATACTCGTCAATGTCAATATGCATTATTGCGAGGTACCCTCTCGTTCCTTTCTACGTTACGAGTACTCACATATCCCTTTTCGTTCCGTTTTCCAGGTAATATAATTCCTTTATTAAACAAGTCATGAATTTCCGTTCACGTACGATTTTTGCATAAAAATTCCGGGTTCGTGCGTTATATCTTTTTCCTATTTATTCTTGAATCGTTCTCTTTTCTGTTAAGGGGATGTGAAAGTGGCGTCCGAGGGGTTATTAGATCATGAGACTTTCCTTCGAATGAGGGGCATCGAATCGTTTCAAACTTTATAACGTGAATATGCAGGCTATAAGGAAGGTTCCGATACCCATGAAATTTCTTTTTATAAAAAATTTTAAAAAGTGTATAAACAAATTTAAAAAAATTAAAGTTCATGAGTTTTAGGACCTCTCTTGTACCCTCCATATTCACATTGTAAAGTTTGAAACGATTCGGTACTCCTAGTTCAAGGAAAAATGTCATAAACGAGACCTCTTTGACGCTACTTTCACCCCACCTTAACCCTTTGCACTCCCAATTATTAAGATGTCGATTGCTGATGTCAAGTCACACTCGACAAAAGAGTGCAAAGGGTTAAATCAGGGGTCTTCAAACTGCTCACGAAAACCATCAATTCGACTTGTGGACCATAATGTTTGAAGAACTGTTTTAGGAGAAAACAATGCCAGCAGTTGCAACCACTTTCGTTCAGTTTAACATTTACATTGATATTTCTTAATTTAATAGCAAGCGAAATTCAGTTTTAAATCGATAATAAATTCGAGAATGTAGTTAGCGTTAACTATTTTGATACATGCACAATAATTAAATAGTAACTTCTCCTAGAAAAGTCAGTAAAAGTGTGCGAGTGACGTTTAACGCAGCGAAGAACAAGATACCACTAAAGATCATTGACTTGCAAATCTACCAGAATGGGTAAAAAAAATCTGTAAAAAAAGAAACATTCAATCAAATTGGATATATGTCATTTTTAGCAACAAAATATATATGCGTGATCGGTCTCATGGTACTAAATACTTCGGACAGAAATTGAAAATATTTCTTGATGTAATTTCACGAGCGGAAGTGATGAAAGAAATGTTTATGTAACTCAAGGTATAGGAAATTTACACAGTTCTTCAGGGTGGTTTGCAGTCTTGATCGAAGTTCAAGATGCTGGGTTCACTTCCTGTTCCTATATGTACTCTGTTATCTATCTATATTCTAAATTCGAAGTGCGCAGCCAACCAGGATGCTGGGCAACGGTACTCACTCGATAACGGGATGGACCACCGGCATTGTTTGGACAAGGAACTGCATCAGGTGAACAAACCACGGTGACTTTCGCCGATTTCGCGAGCGTATTTTGCCGATGTCTCTGCAGGACGTATCTGTGCGTAACGACCACCTTGCGGCGACAGGGACCAGAGCTTGTCATTGTCGTTAGCGAAACCGCAGAAGCCCGATGAGGAAAAAAGCTCCGCGGTTAGACTTCGCGGTCTGCCCACGGACTCGTGGTTGGACCACACACAATGTTGACTGACGTATTAACATCTGATTTTGCTTGACAGAAATTGCGTTGACTCTGGGAGATCAAAAGCGGGACATTGTTCCGCCGCATTAGACGGGGAACTGTAAAAATTGGGAGTCTATCGCTTTATCCAGGCCTCTTGAATGTGTATCGAATGTCTATTGAATGTCTGTTCGGCCGCATTAGAAGGAAGACTGCAAAAATTGGGGGCTATCGCTTTATCCAGGCCTCTTGAATGTGTATCGAATGTCTATTGAATGTCTCTTCGGCCACATTAGACGGGCAACTGTAAAAATTGGAAGTCTATCACTTTATCCACGCCCCGTGAATGTCCATCGAATGTGTATTGAATGTCTGTTCGGCCGCATTAGAAGGAAGACTGCAAAAATTGGGGGCTATCGCTTTATCCAGGCCCCTTGAATGTCCATCGAATGTCTATTAAATGTCTATTCGGTCGCATTAGAAGGAGGACTGCAAAAATGGGGTCTATCGCTTTATCCAAGCCCCTTGAATGTCTATCCTGGCGTGTCCGAAGAATAGATGAAGAATTTAGAGTTCGAGCGGAGCGAAGCAAGAAACTTCGAGAGCGTTGTAGCTCCAAGCG